CCCCCCCCCCCCGCCCCAAGTGCGGACAAACATTTCCGAATCTGCAGTAATTTTATATATCTTATCCTTTAAAATGATCTCGAGACGTCCCTAGGAGGAATGCGACGATTTCATATTGCAACACTTCCTTTCGGCGGGTCGTGAACCTTCGTGTTTATCGTGTAAACACGTGGACGGTTTCTCCTCATGAATCGATAACGCTTAAATATTTTCGCAGAGCGAGAACTGTCACACACACGGAATGCCGCTAGCATTGTGGTGTGCGACATGTTGCACGGCGCTTTGTAGGGCGTGCGCAAGCCCGCAGGATCACCCGGGTCATCAGATCAAATCGCAAACCGATGCCAAAGAACAGCTCATATCCGACGTAAGTCCCTATCTATTATTCGTTTTACTGATTTCATAAAAACTAAGCGAGAGACTAATGACGTCGAAACGCGTCCGTAGGTTCAACTGGAGTTAGTCACTGTGGGTAAACTGTCGACGGAGATTCAAAGACTGGCCGTGCAGCAACGCGAGTTTCTGATAAAGGTGCTGGAGGCATGTGTGACGTTGAAGACGCATGTAGAGACGGATCTGCAAAATGGCTGGAGTCACTTTCCCGAGATAACGGACGCGCGCGAGACTCTAGGCAAGACGAGGGCTGGCCTGCAGATGAGCGAGACTCCGGGTGATGTTTACAGCCTACACTCGCAGTTAATTCTCGAGAAACAAAGGTTGCAGTCAAAATATCAAGAGATGATGTTACAGTGCCAGCTAGATGATCTCATTGGCAACTCTGGAGTGATATTCGACTTTGCCTTGCTAAAACAGGCATTAGCAGGGATACACACGGGAGATCCGATTGTCCCTCAAGGAAATGGCGGTCGCTTGCCGAATCATCTCGCGGCTTCACATAATCCGATTTTGTTCCTCGCAAATTATTGCATGTCGCAGTTGTACACCCGTCACGTCGTTAGCAAGCAACAGCACATGCAGAACGGTTCGATGGAGTATCATCATTCAAGTATGATGCCACCACCGCCCCAACAAGCGCCATCCGTTCACGTTCATCAGGGTCCACCGGCGCCACCACCGGGACCGGGACCCAATCAAGCTCCCCAGCAGCTTCTCATTCCACCCGGTTCACCGTCCGTTAAACCCGTACCGCCTGCACCGCCCAACGCTATGTTGCACCCGCAGCAACAGTCAACGTTCATGTCTGACGCGGTCGGCACTGGCGCCGGTGGCGGTAGTCTAGTGACCGTCCACTCGTCCCCGCAACCGCCGTCCAACGCGATAACGGCGACGTTGACGCGAGGTCCTGCGAATCCGTATCCTCTGTACTACTTCAACATCGAGGTGAATGGTTCACCGCACGGGCGCATCGTGATCGAAGTGCGACCAGACGCAGCGCCGAAGATGGCCAAGAACTTCAGCGTGCTGTCAACGGGAGAGATCGGATTCGGATACAAGGGATGCACGATATTCCAGTGTTGGGAAGGCGAGTCCGTGATCACAGGTGACTTCGAGCTTAACAACGGCCGCGGTGGACGCAGCATATTTGACGACGGTTATTTCATGCCGGACGATACCAAGTTCCCGGCGGTTAGGGGCGCGGTGGGCATGAGGCGGACGCAGAAACGGCACGACAACCTCGGCATGGTCGGCTCGCAATTTCGCATAATCCTGCAGGAGATGCGCGGCTTTACTGGCATCTTCGGCCACGTTGTCGAGGGATTGGAGCTAGTGGAGAAGATATCTACGTACGGCGATCAGACCGGCAAGCCTACCAAGAATATTCTAATCACGAAATGCGGTAAATTGTAACGTTTATGATGTCGCTGTCGCGCGGTTTGTTGCAACGCGGGGTAATTCTCCGAGAAATGAGTATACACTCCGAGTATATATATATATATATGTAATATATATATATAATATATATATTATGTATTATATATATATATATGATATAACGCCGTATACAACACGTTTTCCTGCTCTAGATAACCGAAGGAAAGTCGCCACGGTATCCCCGACTCCGCGCGCGTTCGCGGCCACGAGAGAAACCTATAATACGTAAGAAGAAATGTGCAAAAAGAAATCGCGTTATACACGTAATTGTCCGGCGACGGGAGACGATTATTGTTATTATTATATCCGCCGCGCGTATATCCGCTCGGGGAAATCGTCGCGACACGTTTATTAGCTCCGTGAATCCTCGAACGTTCCGTACGAGTCATGCAACTTAATTAACTATTAACAATAGTGTCTAAAGATGTCGAATCTATTTTTAAAACATGGGCGTGCGCGAGAAAAAGAAAAAGAGAAAAAATCCATATTTTGCTATTGACTGGGAATCGATACGAGATTCTGCTAACAATAACGACGATGATCGATATACACAGAGACACATACACACATACGTACCTCAGAGATCGACCGTGATATCGATACGACTTCTCTAGCTGATACGACATATTTGTTTTTTTAGGGAGAGAGAGGTCTGACCGTTTATTTTGGCTATTATCGGCATTAACTCTTCTACGACGTTGTAGTTCATAGAGCGCATGTCGCGCATTGAACGTGATATAATGGAGAAAATAATACCGCGCGCGAATCGCGGCGGACGGTTCTCCGGCCGGCTGCGAGCGCAGCTAATGTTTTAGGTCGTAGATAGCGAATAATAAAAGGATGAAAAAAAATGCACACGTAGAATAATCTGGGAATTTAAGTGTAGCGAACTGTCGGAGGCAACCGAATCGTGTGTTATGTACGCGATATATTTACGAAGAAACGAAAGAGACAGATCTGCACGCGAGCAAACATTCGACTCTTTCGATTCTTGTTCTTTTTTTTTTTTTGGCGACTTTCGCGACTTCCTGCTAAAAGTTGTGAATCGCGCGATTCCATACGCGGGTCTCTCGTTTAGATATCTTAGCCGAGAGAGGAAGAAGAGATATCGGTATAGTTAATCACGTAGGAGGGCAGTTTATGGTTCGTCGGACACGGCGTATCGTTCCGTTCCGTTCCAGGGGTGCGAGGAAAAAGAGCTAAAAGGGAAGAGAAAAAAAAAGAGATATTCATCGCGCGCGCGCGTCTTGCGAAGAAGAATCTTGCGATACCGCTGCTCGGATACTTGCGGCTCGAGCCCGTTCCCTTTTCGTTCTTTGCGAACTAGCGAACCGTCAATGGGTTATATCTGTATTTAAGATTAGATCTCAATACGTCGCAAATGTATGCAAGGCCTAAATACTACTATGTAAACCGTAAGCCTCGTGTCGTCTAATCGGGAAACGAAAGGGAAAAAAAATAATGAAATGTGCGGATATATATAACGTATATATATATATATATATATATTATATTAAACGAATCATTCCTCGATGCTATATATCGAAAAATATTACGATATAATGTAACTGCGTTATAACTACTCGTCTGAATCCTCGTAATGAAGTCCCATGCGTTATTATCGTTACATACAATGTCACACACGCACGTGCGTATGCGGGGAGTGTGGACGCGTAATCTCTCCCTCTCTCGCGAACACACGTGCGTGCGATATATTTCCACGCGCGTACAAGGCAAGGCACACTCACGCGTAATAAGCAGAAATTGCACGCCCTCGCGTCGTCGCGGATATGCCTTCTCGAAGAAAAGCCTCATTCGATGTTGAACTTGAAAGTTTTAACACTTGTTGATTAGCTGATTAAAAAAAAAAGAAGAACGCGTCTCACGCGATCGACGTCGCGATGACTAACGTAATGCGTCACGTCGTCTTTAGGAATAAATAACTCGCTCCTGTACGATCAAGAGCGGAAATGCTGTCCGAGTAGCAAACAAATGTAGCAAAAAACCGAACTGTATTTGTATCGAGCTTCTCTCTCTTCTCTAGAGAAGATGCCAGTAGTTGGTTGGCTGGTCAGTTAAGATCTAGAGAAAGTCTAACGAGACTCACGGATAGAGAAGCTCGTTCAGTTTAAAACAGTTCACGATCTCCTCACGTTGGAAAGCATTTTTGCTGTCGATTGCACATGTACAATATTGTATACACGACGACCGTAAGGGGGTTGGGGGGTTTGGGGGGGTTAGATGATTGTGTGTTCGAACGGATGGATGAATGAACGAACGAAATCTCTTGTTTCGGTCCCGAACGGGAAAGACTCCGACAATTGTAACTCTTAGTACGTAATCGTAGACGCAATCGTAAAGAAAAGAACATATTGTATTGAAGCGAGTGAAGATCAGGCCCACCTGTACACGTACATATATACAAAATACACATATATATATACACACACAGATACAGATACCTATGCGCGCGCGTATATATATACAAATATATAAACTACGTATATTTTTATGAACGTGATGAGGTAACAACGCATAGCTTGTAATATCGATTTTAACGACCGACCGATTTACCTGGCCCCTCGCGTGCGATTAAACGATTGAGCGGCTGTAAGCACTTGGACAAGTTCTTTCCTCGCCTTTCTACCTCGCCATTATTTCCCTCCGTATCTCTCTTTTTTCTTCCGCTCTCTTTTTCTCTCTCTCATTCCTTGCTCTCGAATTGCGATGATCATTGAAAACGCAAAGATCGTGATTTTTTTTTCAGGTTCGCGGTAATCACACCGTAGGAGCCATTCGTTTAAACGAATTTTATTATTTCATTATACATGTATGAAGTGAACGTTTATTGCTCCAACTTAAATGTATTTTTAATCAATCGATTTTGAGTTATAAAACTATTCTCCTTTCATGTATATTATAATTTGTTCATATCCTATATCTATATCTTAAGTTGCGACAAAATTGAGTAAATTCCAATAAATATTAAGCTGCGATAGACATATGTGAAAATTCGAAGGCACTCGTTCGATATACATGTATTATTAGATCCAAGTGATTCAAGAAAACGTAATCGAATAGAAAATAAAATCGATATGTTTGAACTTACCTTATAGAAGACATCCGGAACGTATTGCTTATCAGTCGACTCGATCACATAGCCCAATTCCGGTGCGTCTTTTGTAGGAACCAAACAGCCATCTCGTACCAACGCCATGCATTGATTGGATACCTGATAGCCCTCCATGTGTACTTGATTTTTATCATCTCCTGTAATATTTCGAAGATATATATCTGATAAGCGCACTAGTTTTGCATGGCGTTTGTAGTAGAGATTTCGTAATATTCAAATGAAATATTGTTATTGTATATTATTAGGTTGATAAAAAAATTCATTCTTTTTCTGTTAAAAAGAAATTTGCTTCCGTTACATGTAATGGAAGCAAATTTCAAGCAGGTACATTAAAAATATTTAATGTTGTCAATGAAAATGAAGTTATATACAAAATGAAGTTAGTACACAAATATAGTTTTCAGTTGTAGATACATTAAATTTTATGACATTTTTAACAATGTATATGGTTTGTGTTCTAGTATGACAGGAGGAATAAATTTTTTAATCAACCTAATATTTTCGAAACAAAAAGGATACATGTAATGTAAGATTAAGACTTACCTGTGACGCAAACAGTTACAAATTTTGAGCCGAAATAACCATTAGGCGAGAAGCGGCAGGGGTTTGGGTACCGATTTTGAAAATACCCAGCCATAATGCATTCTTGAGCGGATAGGAAATGACTTTCTATATTGCGGACATGTTTGACCTGATCGAATAAAACTGACAAAGTTAATCGCCGCACGTACGAATTCGGTATTAAGAATACATTACACGAGGAATAAGAGTATATCAAATTACCGTTCCCTTCTTGACATCGTCGGCTATGAGGTCAGTGAAAATCCATCCGACTCTCCTCAGATTAAGTGTCCGGCCTAATTCCTCGACTAACGCTTCCCTCTCGTCCGGCAGAAGTCTTATCGTGTCTTTTGTACTTTCCTGACCAAAAAAAAAAACGTGAACGTTATCTCGGTACTTTGTTAACCAAAAGTGTATGTTTATAGATTTATCGAAGATTGTACGAGCGCTATGTACCTGCGGTGGTTCGTATATGGCCGCAACGACTGCTCTAATTCCTAGCGGAACATCCGAATGCACTTCGTATCTTCCGTATAAATAGCCGATACGTTGGTGCCCAGTGCTGCGCCAATAATTAAGAAAACGTTCTACTAAACTAGCATTTTCGAACATGACGTTGTCCACGTGCCGATAAGTCTGGCGGTTCAGAGTGATTGAGTTCGGTTGGCATTTGCTGCAGATCCCTCGCGGCCACGGCGGATGGTCCTTGCAGCCAGTCTTTATACGGCAGCTTATGTCGTCTAATTGTATAAACTTGCCCCTGCGACAAATATATACGAGATACAGTCGAACATCTTGTAATGTTTATAATTATTTCACGACGCATTTCATACATACCTATCAACTCCGGCAGTGAGCTTCCTGAGATACGAATGAAAAGACAGATGCTTGATATTTTGTTCCTTCAAATAAATCTCGTCAAAAGGTTCCAGAGGTGAACAGTGAACGCAGCATCCTCTCGCTCCATGCCGACAACTGTAAAAATTAATTTTCCTTTTTTACTTTAATACTAACTTTGAATTATTTAGATTACTTACAGTTTTTCGTCACGTTTACGCTGGATTTTGCCGTCCAGTTTCCATAATTGCTCGTCGATATCGTTCTCGACTACATTCGGCAGAGATCGTGAAGGACCAGACGAACGATTTGTAATTCCGTTTGCAGTGTCCATTGGGCCTGATTCTAAATTATATAGAACAATATAAAAGTCTGACGAACAAAAAAATGACTTATATCTATTCAATAACTTTTTGTAGTTTATAGCGTTAGATATATAAATTTTCCTTACAAAAATTTATTTACTGACTTAACCTTTACTACACATGACGAGCCATTCGTGTCCCCAATTAATTTTTAATGTTTA